GTCCCTGAGCCTCTGGCCTGTACCCCAGTTCTGTATGCACAAATAAATAAAATAAATAAATCTTAAAAAAAAAAAAAAAGAACAAGATTGGCATTGCTTTTTAAAAAATATAAACAATGAGCTATGGGAGAAATAAAATGTATGTTCCTTTTTATAAGTAGCTTGTTCACACCACGTGTGTTATTTTGAGCTCTGAGTAGAAATCGGAGAGCTGGAAGCTGAGCCGCAGCGGCGGGCCCAAAGGCAGCGGGGCCTCTCGCTTTCCATGGGCCTGGACTCCTTGATTTGCTTACTTAGTCCCCTTTCCCACGGGAAAGGAAAAATCAAGATGCCTTTCCTAACCAAACTTCCGTTGTTCTAGACTCTGCTCATGATACAGATCACCTGCTCGCTACTTTAGGAGCGGGGTGTACGCGCTCAGCCGCTGGCCTGACAAGTGCCTGGCCAGCCAGCTCCAGAGGCCTTGGGCAGCTGCAGCCCTCTGAAACCAGCTGGACACCCGCAGAGGACACAGGGCTTCCGATAGCCCCTGCGCGGGCTGCCAGGCTTTGGGCCGATCTTAGCCTACTTACATATTGACTTAGATATTTTACAGCTTCAAGATTTCCACCACTTGGTTTCACAAATGACCAAAGGAGGATATTTTCAACAGCTTCCTTACCTCAACATCAATACTTTCATTTCTTTGAAATTCTTGAATAGAGAGATTATCTGGAGGCATACTAAAAAAGAAAAAAAAAAAAGGGCTAGATTTTTAAAGGTAAAATACAATTTCAAATACGACTAGAAACAGCTAGAAAACAAATAGTATTCTAATGACAAATACATGTGCGTATTAACATACACACACACACACCTTTGTCTACCCAGGTTTTTAAAGGTTCTTATGACAGTACAGAGAGGAGCATATAAGCTAAACGATGAAAAGTTCATTTGTTCAAATCTCACTGGATCCATAAAAATCAGAAAATTATTCAGTTGTGCACAGGCTGAATATTCTAATCTCAGAAACCAATTTTATGTTTAACTTACAGCTTGTATCCTTACCAGTCGCTTTCACACTCCGAAGGGTACTGTGAGCTTGCTGAAACGTCAACGAGCGGCGCCTCCCTGTGGCGCAAGCGGTGCCCGAGCAGCGCTAGAAGCTGTCGGCAGCCCCTGCAGCGCGAGTTCGATCCCGGCCAGGGAGGGCCCCCAGGGCACTGCAGACCCCTCCTGTCTTCTCGCTACTCCCCGAGCAGTGGGTTTCAGTGGAGCTGCCTGGTCTGCTCCCCACTCTGTCTCTGGGGAGTCCTCTCACCTCCCAACCTCTGGCCTGCACCCCAGTTCTGTATGTACAAATCAATCTTAAAAAAAAAAATCTGAAAATCAACAGAAATTACCTATTTATGTGACCGGATAAAGAAGATGTGCTCTACACAGGAGGGACGAGTCCCCAGCAAGTAACAACAGTGAGACCTCGCCATCGGCGCCCCGTGGGCAGAACTTGAGGCAACGCCCAGAGTCAGGGACAGAGGCAAGTCCTGACGATGTCACTCGCATGGCACAGAAAGAAACCACGCAAGGGAACCAAAAAGACAAACCAAAAGAAACCCTCGGGGGGGTGTATGTGTGTAAGAACGGAAGGAGCGCAGTGAACTCTGGGGCCTTGGAGAGTGGCATGGTGTGGAGACACGCACACATCTGCCAGGGTAGCAATGTGGACTCCTAAACACGCAGGGTTGTGGGGCGCTGTTACCTCATAAACATAGTAAAAAACAAACACGTGTCCAGTGATGGAACCAATGTTCCCTCAGTCAACACATGCAAGTGAAAATTGAAAACAGTAAAGTAAACTTTTGGTTTACAGCACAACTCTCAGGGGCAGGAGCGGGTAACGTCGCTGTCATCACGTGCGCACGAGAGCAGCAGGCGCGTCAGCAGCACGCCTGGGCCCGCGCTGCTCGACTCCCAGTCACACAGCCGTGCGGCAGGGCGGTGGCCCCAGGCCGCCCGGCCCCCGGCCCGCTGCTGCAGCCTCGTAGCCGGGTGTGTTTCGCACACTCAGACCTTCAGGGAGGAGTGGCTGCCAGGAAGTCACCCTCCAGCCGCACGGATACACAGGGCGATCCCCGCGGCACTGCGGGCCCTGCCTTACCACCGAGATGCAGCGGAGGGCAGGAGGCCCGCGGCTCAGACGCTCGCCTCGTGCGCGCGCGAGGGCCTGGCCCAGCTGCGCTGTACACGCAACGCAGCGACTCGGCTCAGCAGGGCTCGTCGGAGGAGCAACGATAAACCCGGCCTCGAGCAGCGGCCGCGGAACACACGTTTCCCCAAAGCCCACGCGTGGCAAGTGTAGACACGAGCAAGCTGACCTTTTAGTGAAGAGAAAGTCTTCAAAGGTGCTCGCCAGCTCCGGCCACATACTGCCGAACTTGCCAGAGGCGGCGTGCTGGCGCGCGACCGGCAGGCCGGTGGCGAGGACCTGGAGCAGCGAGGACACCGCGAGCCGCCACGTGCTCTCCGAAGGGCAGGAGTACTTCAGGCCGAGGGGGACCCTCAGGGTCTGTGGAAATAAAGACAAGGCGGGATGAGACTTAGTGGACGCCTAAGTACGACTTTCACTACTCACAGCAAGAAGAACGCAGCATGTGCGTTTGTACAGACAACGGCGGCTTCACAGCTCTTAGGTTCCGACGGTTAAAATCCTGCCTCTGTTCTGTAAACAGCAGCCCTGGGTAAGCTGCGATCTTCCTGCACTCATTTTCCCAGCATGAAGGATAGGGATGCTGTCTAAAAGTCAGGGCTAAGAACAGGAGGAAACACGACCGAACCTGAAGAAGCAAAACCCCAAGCCCAGACCGGACAGAGCAGAGGCGCTGCCCCAGAGGCCGGCCGGCGAGTGAGCCGCAGCACGCACGAGGCTGCTCGAGGCTGCTGCCGTCAGCGCTGTGCCTCTGCGGGTGCTGAGCGGGGTGGCCCCGGGCCCTTCGCCCGGGGGAGCCGCAGGGAGAAGGCAGGTGTTGCGAGACTGACAGTGGTCCCTGTGCAGGGACGCCAGTGCCCAGTACCACGCCGTGCCAACGCTACTGCGAAGCTGATCAGTTAGCTCTGACGAGCACGCCACAAGGCGGCCTGACCCCAGGTGGTGTTCTGTGCATATGTGAATCAATCTTTAAAAACAAACCTTCCTAGATCTTAGATAAGCGACTTCTAAAACACCCTCCGTACATTGGAGAAGGGATAATCACAATAGAAATTGCAGGTTTCCATTTATCTCAGTATGATGACAGTATGTAGTTACCTGAGAGTAATTTCAGTAATAATGTCATTATCAAGCAAAATTATAGAAGTTAAAAGGGATACCTTAATAATATTCTGGAGCACCTTCTCATTCACCACTGCTTTGTGACAGGCTGTTTTTTGGTATAAATCCACAACTACTTCTAAAGACCTTTCAGCAAATGGCACATAATTCAGGGCAACCCATTCCGCCTAGAAAGTAACATTTCCACAGGGCGTTAAAAATAAATGAGATGAAATAAAATTACATTTTTTTAAAGAGAAAGTTTCTTTGTCTTAAAGTCCAGGCCTCGGTCTTATCTATTACATTACATGCAAAGTTTTCAAAGTGACTGTACTTCATGAAAGAATGCTTTTCAGCCAGGCAAAAATTAAAACTATCGGATAAAGCACACAGAGAACTCTATGAAAAAAAGGGAAATATGTTCTGTTTCCATAGGTTAGGACAATTTTAGGAAATTTAACTCACCGGTGCAAATAGTTGGATCTATTGTGATTCCATTGTGTTGCAAGACAAACAGAATGAGAAAAGTTAATACACATAAAACTGCTTCTGGGACTACGTAAAATCGTGATCTCAATGTCCAGCGAGCAAAATCAGCATGTGCATGCACTCAGAAACTGATCTGTGCCCTAAGCCAAAGAAATTAAAATTTGCCAGCTGTGGCTACACAATTCTTTATAGAAAATCCGACTAAATTTCACACCACGAGCTGGTGACTCAGTACATGCAGATTTCTTCCTTTCACGTCAAGGTATTTCTCTGAGGCAAGATCAGATTCAAGGATTAAAGGCCATTTTATAGCGGGTTGGGCAGTCAAGAAAGGAACTCCATGAAAGATGCACTACAGATCTACACAAAAGGTCAAGCTTTCTGAAAAACCACTGAGAAAGGAAAATCACAAAAAAAGGCACACAGAGAAGGTTTTCCAAATCGTAGCCTTTCGGCTTACATTGTTAACATAGTAAGAAAGCATATTTGCGAGTGACACTCTTCTGAGAGAAAGTCCACCAGAAGCAGGATGATCTGTACTTGTCAGTCCTGAAACCTTAAACACAAGGTACAGTCAATTACCTGATTATACTTTGCGTTTGCGATGTGCTTTGTTTCCAGATGTCCATACTGTGGAGGTTTACAGGAGAATTCTACAAATGCCAGTAACTGATCAAAGATAGCTGGATACATTATTTGCATGTTTTCTGGACCTACACAGATGGCCTAGAAAAACAAGAGATGAGCAATAAAATGCACCATCTGAAAAAAAAAAAAAAAAAAAAAAAAAGCACCATCTGGACGCTGCTATGTTCTACCGAGGACATGCATTTGTTTAACTTACACACTGTTCTGGTTTCCTTTTATACACTCCCGTAAGCCCTGAAGGATGCTTGAGGTATTTTAAGTTATTATTGAACAAAATATAAGCATCAATGCGTTAAACAGATAAAAACAAGTTCCTCAACATAAAGTGTGACGCATACACTGGGCATGGGGGAGCGTTTAAAGAGAAGCCCCAGACAGCCCCGAGATTCTCCGGCATGCTCACTGTTTGGCCAGCCGGCCAGCAGGTCACTGAGAGTGCTTCGCCGGCCTTCTACTTAGGAGGTGACTGCAGTTCACTGAAAGGACATCTGGGCCCTCCCTGGTGGCGCAGCAGGTTGGGGCGCAGCACTGCGAAGCTGGCCGCGGACACTTCAGCACGAGTTCGATCCCCCGCCCCGGAGGTGACCCACGTGCCGCTGCCCCCCTCAGCAGTGGAATTCCTCAGTCAGCCTGTCTGCTCCCCACTGTGTCTCTGGGGAAGCCTCTCACCCCCCGCAGCTCTGGCCTGTACCCCAGTTCTGTGTGCATAAATAAATCAATCTTTAAAAAAAATGACATCTGGCCCTCCCTGGTGGCGCAGCGGGTTAAAGCACAGCACTGAGAATCTAAAACCGCTTCCGCATGAGTTCGATTCCCGCCTGCCCTGGAGGTGACCACATGGCGTGCCAGACCTCTCCTGACCCGCCCGCTGCTCCCCTCAGCAGTGTACTTCGTCGATCTGCCTGTTCTGTTCCCCACTCTGTCTCTGGTGAAGCCTCTCGCCGCCCCTGAGCGTATGGCCTGTGCCCCAGTTCTGTATGTACAAATAAATAAATCTTTAAAAAAAAAAAAAAAAGACATCTGATTGCTATACCATTTCTGATCCACTGGCTTTAAAAAATAATCATGAGCATTACGGTTGGGAAAATACACCAGATGTGAAAACTTATTAATAAAGACATAAGCTCTTCATTTACATTATGTAGACTGTATAATGGTTTTTAACAGGGCAGTGAATTTTTAATGTATAATATATCTGTATGTAGACTTTAAGAAAACGAAAGGTTTTAACAGAAATTACAACTTGATAAAACAAAATCCATGCCCGGACATCATAGATTTTAACTACTTCAAATACGTTAAAAGTACTTAAAATAAATTTTGTCATGATTATTCCAGCCACAAATATGCCTTCGCCTCCTATCGTTCATCTTCTCCTGTCTTATGTTATTTTTATCTCCATGGGAGTAATACTGGTGTGATTTACGGAGTGCCTCAAGTATACTTGTGTTTTACAAAAAAGGCGGCACGATACGATCCACTGTACTGGAGGTACCCCAGGTCACTGATCAAAGTCAAAGCATTTCAAATTCTTAAGGAATTTCTTATATATCTATGCTTTATGTACTCTACGGCTTTTGACCAATCGTGTTAACTTCACCCAGAGAAGATCGTGCTGGACCTGCAAGTTTAGATAAAACTCTTGAGCTAGAGAGCAGACAGCCAACTGCCGCAATACCTAAGTCAGGCCCCAGAACCACAGAGCTCAAGAGCAGCAGAGTTCTCGCCGCACCTGTCCGTCCTTTCTCTTTTTCTCACCACGGAGAAGGGCGAGCTGGAATGCGACAGCGTCACAACTCTCTGCTGACCGCGCTAACAGTTTCACTTGCCCGTTACTAACCTTCTGCTGAGTCTCGCCTCTCAGACATAAGCAAGCAGCAACTAGCAGAAGGAGATATTCACCCCCAGTGGATTCCTTCCCTTTCCGCAACGCAAGGAAGGGCAGCCTCGGCCGCCAGCATCGCACGCAGCCTCCCAGAAACACCTGCGCCCCACCGCAGCCTGCAGGCGTGAAAGCTGCAGGACCAGCCGGTGGCACTCAGACCCGAGCCTGCGCCGGGAACCCCAGGCGAGGACGGATCAGCCCACGCTTGCGGGCGTCCAGAGGCGCAGCTACCTCGAGGCTGACCCCTGCTACCTGCCCTCACGGGGAAACAACCGAGTCACCAACTCGCTCACAGACGCAGCGGGCGCGAGGCAGGTGGGAGACGCCGCCCCGAGGCCCGCGCC